AAGTAGTGAAAAGGCATTCTTTGTGACAAGCTACAATGTGACAGACTACAATGTTTATTCTAAACTATCTAAGTGAAGTAAATAATCACAAACAGTTCTCCTAACTTCTCTAGCCCAGGAAGAAATTCATTAGCTCAAGAATGTTGTTAATTTGTCTGCTGTTAGTGTCACAAAGGGTGGCCAGCCACTTCCTCAAGACTTCTGCAAAACAAAGCCAGCTCACAGTATGGTTTCCAGAGGGTGAGAGATCTCACTGAGAACAGACATTCCTGTCCTACCTCTGTCTCGCATACCGGGGGCTATTGTATATTGCAGGTTAGAGGGTTGGAGCCTACAAAGTAACACCTCATCCCCCACAAGGAACTAGTGTTTACTTCATGTTTTTAGACCTTACGCCGTGGCATTTAAATAATGTGCTGTGCTGAAATACCACTGAGCCTAGACAGCAAGACCTTGCCTTGAGAACTGGACGTGACCGAGGGTCGTCTGTGACTTGAGGTCAGGGTTAGAGCGTCAGCCTGCACACACCTGGCGAGGCTGTGTGGCTTAGGATCGACATTTTCAGCTGAATTTTCTGGTGATTGGAGAGAAGCTCTGAGTGTCCACCGCTGCAGATTCCATGACCAGTGACTGAAATCGGCCCCTCTGCTTATAGCCGGTTCACGGGAGAAGCTCCAGCAGCTACGGCAGCCTGGGCAGCAGCAGGTCACAGGAGCAGCTGCTCAGCACGGCCTCGTCCAGCAAATCCAGTGGGCACCATGCGGAGAAGGGCACGCGCAGGGGCCCGGTGCGTGGCAGGGGAGCACATTTCTGACTCGGAGCTGTCATCTGACGGGAGACACCTAAGTCCCTCCTGGTTTGTGTACACCCCTGGGGAAAGAAGAACCACCTTTGGCTTAGCTGCTCACTTTCTAAGATTGGCGTTTTAGGGGCTGGGATTTAGCTCAGTGGTGCTGCGCCTTCCTGGCAAGTGCAAGGCACTAAGTTCGATTCTGGCCACCAAAAAAAAAAAAAAAAAAATTAGCATCTTAACAAATTCTTAAAGTGTATCAATGAACCTTGGTACAGTGGAAGCCAAATTAAAGTGGTGGCTCTGCTTTTTGTCCTTATTTCTTTAAAGAACCAGAAGTTAAATGTATTTTTTAATCTTTCAATTCATGTTGTTACTATTTTTGAAACCTGTTTCATCGTTCTTTTCCTAAGACAACCTTGCAGCAGGTCTACGCCCGTGTAAGCAAAATGAAGAATCTGGGTCAGCAGCTGTGCACTGAGCCAACCACCAGATCACCTGCCGAGCCCACGAAGGGGACGCTCACAGAGCTGGCGGGCGGGGGTGAGTCGCCACGCCACGGTCAAGCCCCGCGTCCACTCCTGCACCCCTGGAGGGAAGCCTGGGCCCACGAAGCTGCTTTCTAAGCCGGGTTAGAGTGTAATTTCAGTGGGCTTCGGTGAAGAACAGTGATACCAGTGAGTTCACGGATTTTCCTCCCTAGCTAAGCTGTCTTTAACAAGAGGCAGTTTTAGAAGACATTGTAGATAATGAAATGCACTCTAGCAATGATCTCTTGCATTTCAAACAGGTGGAGAAAATTGATGATTCAAATGAATGAGAAATGTTGGCCCCTTTTTTCTGATTCATGTTTACTCAGATGGGAGGCAAAGACTTCAAAAGAATTGGATCAGCTGTGTCAAGCAGCTCTCGTGCGGGGGGTGGTACTGGCGATGGAACCCAGGGGCACTGCGTTACTGAGCTACATCGCTTTTTATTTTTTGATAGGGGGTCTCCTAAGTTGCTTACTGGCCTCCACCTTGCAGTGTTTTAGCCTCAGCCTCCCAAGGTGCTGGGATTACCTGTATTACTTGGAAAAGTTAATCTAGGTATATAACAGAGCAGAGTTCTACAGTGTGGAGTTCTGCTGTGTAACACGGAGTTCTATAATATAATACCGTTCGCTTCCCACCTCGGCAGGAAGTTCGTCGTTCCATTCAGATTAGATTTACTGCTGAATCTAGCTGAGCTTCCCTTCATCTCCTCCACGAGTGTTAACACAGTTTTGGACGTCATGACAGTGTTAGAAACTGGGTGCTAGCATGGGCCTGAGTCCCGGGGAGTACGTGTTTACACAGCAGAGCTGACATTTCTTGCTGCGGCCGGTACTGACTGTAAGAACAGTGTTGAGAGCTGTGTTTCTCGAGGCCTGACAGGACTTACAAAAACCAAGTGCTGTTCCCACAGGTGATGTCACCTGTAGCTTCTGTGTCACATTCCTGAGACCGAAGTTCACAGGCAGCAATGGATCTGTCCCGTGTTAGAGGCTGGGAACCGAGGGCAGAGTGTGGCGGCCTTGTCTGGTGAGCCCACAGCTCCTCTTTGAAAGCAGGGTCTTGGACGTTGTGTCCTCCAGAGGGGAGCATGCTGTGTGGCAGCAGGACAAAGGCAAAAAGGGACCAAGCAGGTTTCCTTGGTGCACTTCAGTTTTTTCTCTGGAGGTGGGGCTTCCTGCATTGTCCGTGTTTTGGGGTGGGGTGAGTACATGCATGTGTGTGTTGCTGGGACTGAGCCTTGGACCTTCTCTGAACTGCTTCCCAGCCCTTTTTATATTAAGGCAGGCGCTCTCTAGGCTGCCTAGGCTGGGCTTGAACTTGCAGTCTTCCTGCCTCAGCCTCCCAGTGTACAGGTTGCACACTTTATTGTAGCCCTTTAAGATCACGAATAGCAGGGATAAAGGGTGCGTGTGGTGCTTTATGCCTGTAATCCTAGAGCTCAGGAGACTAAGGCAGAGGATCTCTGCGAGTTCCAGGTCAGTCTGGGCTGCATAGTGAATTCAAGACCAGCCTCAACGACATCATGAAACAGTTTCTTTAAAAAAAAAAAGCCAGTGCTCTGCCTTCCTGACTGAATTGCTCCCCCAAGACACCACCTCTGTATACTGTCACACTGGGGTTTAAATCTCAGACTTACTCCTAGAGGGAGACACGTGTTCAAACCATGGCCAGCCTGGGGAACTCTCCCAGGCACAGCAAGTCCTGCCCTTCAGGTTCTCTCTCCACTGTGATAGGAAGTTTAGCATTCCATTCATTTCTTCTGCTGTTACACATTACGGACACAGGATAGGAATGCAAGTCGCCCAGGCATGGTGGTGCACACCTGTAATCCTAGCACTGGGGAGGCTGGGGCCAGAGGATCACTGTGAGTTACATAAGTGAGTTCAAGGCCAGCCTACACTACATAGTGAGACCTGTTTCAAAAAAAACAAGGTAGAAATACAAGGGTTTTTTGTCCCTTGAAACCACAGATTCTCTCAGTGCAGAACAATTTATCTATCTTAAAAATCATCCTATGTCCCAACAGAGAAGATCCTCTTAGGAGGTCTTAAAGCTGACATTTCCAAATGTTTCATCATCGTCTGGTCGAGCAGGGCCTTCCCACTCTTGCCTTGATCCAGATCTCATTAATGTCACAGTTTTACATCCTGACCTCTGCATTTCATTTCAGAGTAGCCTCCTTTCTCACCTCCTGGGACATGGTGTCCCCAAGAACCCATTTTGAAAATAAAAACAGGTTAAAGACAAAAGTATGCAATGTTAATATGAGCCACCAAGCCAGGCATGGGAGCGCATACCTGTAATCCCAGCACTCAGGAGGCTGAGGAAGGAGGATCATTGCGAGTTCAAGATCAGCCTGGACTACAAAGTGAGCTCAAGGCCAGCCTGACCTGCATAATGAGACCCTGTCTCAAAAAGACAAAAAAGAAAAAAACGTGTGTGTATATACACACATACACACCACCAGGAAGCTGTATTAATATCACACAAAGAGCACATGGGACACTTAACATAGTAACCTGTTGTGGACCATCAGGTAAATCAAAGCACGTTTTAAAGGAGAGAAATACTATAGCCTCATACCATCTAGCAATCCATAACAGGTGTATCTAGAAACCCCTCAAAGGTCAGAAATGTAAAAACCCAGGTCCGAATTGATAACCATGTCTTCTGTGGTCAACTGATGTGAGGCAGATGATGTCGGCCCTCTGTGCAGGCTCGTGCAGCACTGACCTGAAAGGCTCAGAAGCTGATCTGCTACTCATAGTGCTGAGTCACTGAGCCATGCCGACAGGTGGGAACATGAGATAAAGAGATGAGGGGGAAGAGCTCTTTACAGCGCTGATGGCTACAAACCAAATGAGGGCATTAACGAGCACCTCCCCATCATGGCTCTGAGGACGGATAGGCCTCGCAGCCTGCAGCCTCACACGGAGCCGCCTCTGCCCAGCCTCTGCCCGGCATCTGAGGAAGCCCCTCTTGCCTGGAATGTGACTCCGTGCTTGACTCCCAGGGCACCTGTGTTGGGCAGGGTTTTCTTAGATCCCGGACTATTTCTTCTCCCCTTCCGGTTCATTCTCTCAAAGGAGTTTAGGTTCCCAGTGTGGGGTTCTAGAGGCCTTTTTTCTTCTGCCTGTGACGTGGTGGTCTACATTCAGGTTGAATATAAATAAGTACAGCATGGATAGATTTACTCTCTACTGCCCTGGCTGTACTTGGAGTGCTTAGCAGCTGTGTGTGGTGGTAGTGGCCACCACATGGACAGCACATACAAGGATACCGCCAGCGTCACCGCAGGTAACGCTGTGTGTCTTGGCATCCAGTTCTTTGTGGTGCTGGGACAGTCTCTTGGTAGGTACCTGGTGATGGGTGATGGTGTAGCATACCTGGAGGCAGACGGGCCAGGGTGGAGTGGCACCAGCCTGTTACCCGACACGGTCACTGATGACCTTGCCCGAAACGTGTTCCCTCGTCGTTTCAGAAGTGCCGTGGTGTGATCTTCCGTGTGTCCTGCACCTCCTCGTGCTCACGGGGCTGTGTGCTGTGGTGTGGGGGTCTCCCCAGCCAGCCCTGCGCTCCTTTGTAACGGTCATGAAGAACCCTGGCTGACTCTGCTGGTATCTTCTTCACGCGTGCTAAGTGCTTTAATCGCTCGTCCTTTGATCCTCTTTCAGATGCGTGGGAGGCTTTGTCCTCCTCTCAGAGGCTGAGCCATGGAGTCACCTACACCGAGTCTTGTGCAGGTTTGAGGAAAGGCCAGCGCAGCCCGTCTTACCAGCAGATAAACTGTATCCATAGTGTCATCAGGTACGGACACAAGTTCTCTTGTTTCTTGCTTTTGGTTTTTTTTTTTTTTTTTTTTTTTTTTTTGGTATTGTAAAGAGAAGGAAAAGTACAGAATTTTAAAACAAGATAATACAGTAACGATTGCATATTGTTATCTTTAAAGTAATTGTTCATATTACAAGATACAGGCATGAAAAATTGATCAAACAATATAGGCACCCATCTTTCTTTTCAATGACATAATAGAAGCTAGTAGTACAGCTACCTTGCCTATTACACACGTATATTTTTCTTTCCCCTTCTCATGTCCCATCCCAGTTTCTGTTTCGTGTCACAGTATCTGTTGTACATTTTAGTCTTATTTAGACTTTCACCTTCTCAGACTAGGGAGACAATACTATGTTTCTACACGCAAGTCTGATCTATTTCACATATGAGTATGACTCAAATTGCATCCATTTACCTATAAAAGTTCAAATTTATCCTCCTTTTTAGCTGACTTTCCATTGTGTGAAAATACATTGTTTTTATCCATTCCTCCATTAGTGGTCATTGAGGTTGTTTTCAAGACTCAGCTATTACAAGTTGTGTTGCTGTAAACATGGGTGTACATGTATCACTATGGTATGATGTTTTTAATTCTTTTGGGAAAATACCCAGAAGGGGAAAAACTGGGTCAAATGGGGCCTCTAACCCTTTTTTTGAGGAATCTCCACAATGATTTCTACTGTGGTTGCCCCAGTGTACACTCCAGCAGTGGAGAAAGTTTCCTTCACCCCACATCGCCTCCAGCCTTTGTTATCGGTTGACTTCTTGATGATAGCCACTTTTTTTGGTATGAGATGGAATCTCAGTGCTATTTTAATGACCAGTGCTGTCTCAAATGACCAGTATATTGAACATTTTTTCATATATTTATTTGCTTGTATTTCTTCATCTGAGAAGTGCATATTTATCTCAGATGCCCATTTTGAATTGGGTCTTTGAATGGGGGGGTCTGATTTTTTTTTTCCAATTCTTTATATGTTCTAGATATAAGTCCTTTGTTGTAGGGACAGTTGGCTAAAACTTTTTCCCACTCTGGATTGTCTTTTCAGTCAGTTGGTGATTTCTTTTGATGTACAAAAGCTTTTTAATAAGATGAGATCTTATTAAAAGGTTGTAGATTCTTTGAAATATATCCTATGCAGTCTGGGTTTTGTTCATGAACTCTCGGACTACCCCCATGTCTTCAAGATTTCTACCTACTTTATCTCCCAGTAGATTTAGTGTTTCTGTTTTAATGTTTAGATCTTTGATCCATTTTGACTTCAGTGCATGATGATAGACATGGATCTAGTTTTGGTGCATGATGATAGACATGGGTCTGTAGAGAGCCAGTTTTTCCAACACCATTTATTAATGAGGTTTTTTCCTAGTGAACATATTTGACCCCTTTGTCAAAGATAATGTGGCTGGGTATACTTGTAGTTGTGTCTGCATGTTCTGATCTGTTCATTGATCCTCAGGTCTGTTTCTTTGCCAGTGCCGTGCTGATTTTATCACAGTAGCTTTGTAGTATAATTTTTCAAGTCAGAAATTGTGGTGCCTCCTGCCTTGCCTTTTGTGCACAGAATTGCTTTTGCTGTTCTAAATCTCTTCTGGTTCCAAATGAATGTTAGGAATATTTTCTCTGGTTCTTTGAGTACACTAATGGTATTTTCATGGGGAGTGCAATTAAGTCTGTATAGCAGTCTTGGGAGTCTGGTCATTTTCACTGTATTGCTTCTTCCTGGTGATGAAAGGGCTTCTTTCCACTTTGTGCCAGCCTCATCGATCTCCTTTTCCAGAGCGCTGCAATTTTCACCGTAAAGACTCTTCACCTCCTTTATTAGTTTGATTCCTAAGTCTCATTTTCTGGATGCTACTGTGAAGTGTATGGTTTCCCTAATTTCTGCCTCGGTGAGTTTGTTGTTTGTGTACAGGAAAGCTGCTGATTTTTGAGTGTTGATTTTGTATCCAGCTATGCTACCAGGTTTGGTACATGTCCTGATATTTTTTCCCAAGAGCATACACTGTCTTTTTGGAGTTTTCATGTAATTTTTAAAAGCTGTTTGGTCTTGATTTTATATGTAATTAGGAGATATCTAGAGAGTGCTTGCTGCATGCTGTTTGCAGGATACTGGCCATGAGAGAGAGCACTAAGATGCATCCATTCCCTGGGGCAGCCAGCCAGTGCTGAGAAGACCTCAGCGGTGTACGATGTGAGGCTCGGCTCACCAGTTAGAGCTGAGATTGTCGGGCTGCTGCGAAGAGGGGAGTGGGCAGCTTCCCAGACAGAGCGGCCTGCAAGAGGTGGGGGCCTGGGAAGGCAGCCGCCCTGGGAAGCAGCAGGAGGTGCGGCCGCTTCTCTCCCGCAGGTACCTGGAGAGCTGCAGTGCCCCCGACTTGAAGAGGAAGTACGTCTCGCGTAGGAACACAGCTTCCTCGTCCTCAGAGGAGGACAGGCCGCTCCACAGCGCGCACAGCGCCCAGGCTCTGCAAGGTGCCGGCAGTGCTTCCCTGCCTTACCTCCATCCCGCCCTCGGCTCTCCCCTCGCTGTAATCGCAGAATCCTACTTCGTGGTACATTTTTATGGCCAGTGGGCTTTAATTTGTGAGTGAGCAGCCTCTGAAAAGCGTAGGTTTCGGCGGGCTGGGGATTTAGCTCAGCGGCATAAGCACCTGCCTTGCAAGCAGGCAGTAGTGAGTTCGATCCCTGGTACCGATAAAAACGAAAAAGACAAAAAAAAAAAAAAATGCGTAGGCTTCGGCACCCCGCTCCTGCTGGTCATCTTCCTTCTACGGTCGTTTCTCCTGTGCCCCCAGCTGCTGCACAGACCCCCGCCATTCCCGCGCCGGAAGTGCCAGCAGGAGCCCCGGCCTCGGGTGCCGCGCGGACCCTGACCCTGTCCACCGCAGCGCTGAGCGTGGGCCCGTGCAGCTGCTGCAGCACCCTGGTCCACAGCCCTCGCGTGGAGTCAGGTACCTGCGTCCCCTTCGCCGGCTCCTGCCTTGTCAGGGGTCAGGGCTTCTCCCTGGTGTCTTCCAGGCAGTGTTGGAGATGTCGTGTGGGTCCTGGTCTCCGATTTGAGCCTGTGGTTCTTGTCTGTGTTACTGGGGGTGGGGGATCAGCTGATGTGTGTAAGACACAGAATGTGGGGCACTCTTCCTTTCAACAGGATGACTTGGTAAATTATTCTAGTCTCTTTTTCACCGCCCCCTGCCCATCTGACCCTGGACTGCTCGTGGTGATTCAGTAGCTGAAACGGTGACAGACCTGTTAGGCTGAGTTTTCACTTAGCTCTCATTTATCTTTGCCGGGGTTGAGTTGTGACTGGGAGCTGTCCTGTCCCCAGCCCTTGGCCACCTCGTCTACCCGGCCCTCCCCACGGTGAGACAGGAGGGCGAGGGCTCCTGGGGAGCAGCGGCGTTGCAGGCAGCTGCAGTGACCTTAGGTTCCCTTCCCACGAGCCAGAGAGTCTCCACAGAACCAGCCCTGGGCAGAGCAGCAGGCGCCTCGGAGAGGAGAGCAGCGCTGTCCTGACACTGGGACTCCCTCACAGCGGCTGCCCGGGGTCAGGCCTGAGCCAGGTCACGGCTGAGGCCAGCTCTCTAGCAGTGCGGGAAGCCTGCTGTCTCTCTCTCTCTCTCTCTCTCTCTCTCTCTCTCTGTCTCCCATGTCGCCTGTGTCTTGGTCCTCTGGCCTTTCATTACCATTGTGAAGAATGCAGATTAACACCCTAATACTTCCATTTAAGGAAACACTTGTGGTAGTCTCCTCTGATCTCAGGCAGTCTCGCCATCCACAGGGCCACGTTTCTATCCAAGCAGAAGATGCACAGTCGGAGCTCCTGTGCTCTCACTGTCTGCTTTCTCTGTGTCTTGCTTTCCAGAAAGCCCCATTCCTGAATTTTATGTCCTGACCCCAGTAATGAATCGGGGCTGAGGACTGCTCGCAGGGCATTTCGTGCCCACTCCTCCCCGTGTAGGAAACAGGGAGGGAGGGGACACCCCGGGAGCGAAGGGGAGCCAGGCGGGTGGTGGGTGGGGAGCGTGCACAGCTGAGAAGCGAGGAGGTGTTGGGGGTGCTGTGCCTCAAAACACATTCACCCGCCAAGCACCGGTTAAATGAGTGTGTGTATACAATTAGAACTCTGTAAAGCAAATAGATACGTTTGTATAAAAATTAAGTAAGAATTTTGCCCCAGACTGGTGGTTTGTTGTATTGTAGCAGTCACAACAGTGTTTGTAAAACTATTGATGTCACTTGAAGAATAAGTAAATGTAAATAATGGCTGGGAATCGACACTGAATCTGTCTCTGTCACCTTAGCAGAGGATGCCTCTCTAGCGTGTGGGCCCGGCGGGGCCCTGGGCACACAGCCGGCTGCCCTGGCCTCAGAAGGGCTCAGGTGCACGGGGCTCTCACAGGCTGCGCTGCTGACCCACACGCAGAAGGAGGGGCAGGACTACGTGGCCCGGTTCCGGGAGCGGCTGCTGTCCTCGCCCTGTAGCTGCTGCCTTCAGCAGGAGAGCGGAAGCACGGCCGAGAGCTGCCGGGTCCAAGGTAGCGTGTCTGTGTAGCAGCTGTTTAAAGTCACACCCGGTAGGCTGGGCACAGGGACACCAAGAGCGTTGCCGGGGGCCGGCGGCCCTTCCCTGGTGGGCAAGGTGCCCGGGGGAACCTCGGTGCCCTCCCGTGCGCTTGCACTCGTCTCATGGCTTATTGTACTGCGGCAGTGTACCCGGTTACCATGCGCTGTTGCTCTTGTGTGGTACACGTGCAGCTTGTTCTCCCTGATACTTTCTACTCTGACCAGTTGAACGCTGACCCGCAGCTGCAGCAGGCCAGCTGGACTGAGAGAGTGTCTCCTCCTCGGCTGGGCGGAGCGGGCACGCAGTGCCCAGGAGGAGCTGCACCTGTGTGAGGCAGCGAGCTGAAGCAGGTCACTTACATCAGCTCTCCGCGGGCCTTTGTCAGATGCGGGGCCCGAGGAAACAGTTTTTAAGAAACTGACCAAGAGAGGCCTGAAGTACACTGATTAGTCTTACCCTGAATTTGGCTTGCTTTTTCGAGCAGCTGTTGTTCATTCCTCTGGCGTCTACTCCCGATCACCTGGCAGTGGCCTTGTCTTCCGTCTGGGATTGGTGCTCCAGCACGCACCTCCGTCTTTGTCCTTCCAGGGGCTGCGGCCTCCAGGCACAGCAGACCGGCTGGATGCAGGAAGGGGCGGCACAAGCGGAAGAAGCTGCCAGCGCCGCCAGGCTGCTGCAGCTCGGGCAGCAGTGTGTGTCCCCACCACAAGGGGCTGCTTTACAGGGCGCAGCCCTGGGGCCCAGCTGCAGCCCCGGCACCCCAGGCCCCAGGCCTGGCACTGCCCGCCACCACTGTGCTGCTTCCCGGCCAGGACACTCGGCTCCTGCCCCCGCTGCCTGTCCCAGCCATGACTTCCCTGGGAACGGAGGACGCCGCAGCCTGGGGGGCCGCACCCGCGGGCCTGCCCACAGCACCCTGGCCCAGCAGCGGCCTGCACGCTCCTCCTGCTTTCCCCGCTCCTTACTCGGATACTTCCATGGCCATCCTCCTACACGCCCCTCCCATCTGTCTTCCTTGGTCACTGCCCTTCTCTCCACATCCCCGCTCGGGGGCCGCAGGCGCTTCTGAAATGCCACCCGCAGCACCAGCAGTGGCTCCAAACCTGGAACCGCCTCCTTCAATCGACAGCCAAGGGAGAGAGGACGACAAATGGGAGACACACAGTGAGGAGCCTCCATGCCTGAATTCGAGGAGCAGCTCGCCACTGCAGCTGAATCTGCTCCAGGAAGAGGTGCCGGGCCTGTGGCTGTCTCCCGCGCCAGCGAGAAGGGACCTTCACCCCAAGGCTGAGGGTATCAGTGATGCTTGCTGTCAGCACACAAGCGGGAAAGTGAGTGGATTCCCTTATTGAAGTTGGGGTCCTAGCTTGCGGTGACCCCTTTGACAGCTGTGACTGACACTCAGCCCCGGTGTGTGTAAGGCACAGTGCACCCCCAGACTTCAGTACGGAGCGGCAGGGCCATCTTGCAGGTTGTCTGTGTGTGCAGAGTTCCTTCTGCCCGTTCAGCCTGGTCTGCAGGTGTAAAACGTCATCTGATCATTGGCTCTGAAGTGTATTCTCTCACACCTGCAGTGATGGGCAGGAAAGAGGGCAGCAAACAGTGCAACACGACCGTCAGCTTCCTTTACCTTCTGAGAGCCTAACAGGCATGCTGCGGTCGATCAGGGTAATCTTTGGGAGCTGACACTCATGGAAGTAGGGGTACGTGGTAGGGTGAGCGTGGATGCATACACAGGTTTGCCTTCAGTCTTTCCTTTAAGGTACAGATATTCAAGACACAATGACCGTCTGTGCACTGGCCCTGAAGATCTGGGCCAAGGCAAAGCCCGGCCAGGGCAGGAGACGCTGGCCAGGTCATGGCTCTGTCCTGGCCGGGCAGGTTGGCGGGGGTCAGGTCGCTGTTGAACCTTTTCTCGCCTTGATTTCCTTATTGGATAAGAGGGGAGGTGGGCAGTGCCAGCTTGTGCTGAGGCCACCATGGAGTGAAAGGCAGTCTCCCCACTCGGAGCAGGCTCTGAGAGAACTGGGGCTCGGTGTCGTCCTCAGCCGTGTTCTTGGAGTTTGGTGTAGGGCTTAGCACAGCATGCATGCTCTGCACGTGTGTTTCCCAGTGACACACTGCAGCCCATCCTGGTGCCATCTGTGCCACACTGGTCCCTGGGAGCGGCGGTGCCTTTCCGCAGTAGACACAGTGCTTCAGCTGCATCCTCGGGCACGGGCTGCGAGCCCTCACTGCTCAGTTACACTTGGACACTTGGTTCCGCTCGGCCTGTGACGCCAAGGACCCGCTGTCCCACTGCTGTGCGCGGGTGCTGAATGTCTTCTTTCTTGTCCTCCTTCCCAGCACTGTGTCAGAGGGAGCAGGGGCCGCCCCGACCTGTCCAGGACATCCGTTCCCAAGGTGTCTCCGTCCGGAACTGGCTCTGCAGCCTCAGGTAGTGCATGGCTCGGGAAACCCCCTCCACTCCCTGTGGCTGTGTCACCACCAAATGAAGATACTTCCTTCTGTAGGTTTTCTGGAGGTAGATACACATGCAGGAAAATCCACCAGTTGTATGAAACGAGAATTCTGGCAGGCGTGTAGGTCAGCATAGGCCCCAACAGCCACCGTGCAGAAGGGGCATACCCTCCACCACGGAGAGTCTGTGACCCGGGACGCGTCTCCTGCCCTGGCCCGGGCCTGCCACAAGCCGTAGGGTGACTGTCTGCCGCTTTAGGTTTGCTTCTTTAATCTCATATAAATGGAGTCACAGCATGCAGTCATTTGTGTTAGGATGCTGTCAGCTAGGCTGACGTGCGCGACTTGCACATGTGTTGTACAGGTCTAATCAGAATATGCAGTGCATGCTTGATGGTAAGACTGTTACCCTGAACACAGACTGCCACTAATCCTCCCCTTGGTGCAGACACACTTGATGCCGTCCCTCTCGTCACTGTCTGAAGCCATTGTAAAAGTCCTTCTCTGTGAGCGTCTTTACAAGGTGTGATGGAAGTACAGGGGGAGCTCTGCCAGGTGACCCAGGGGAAGGCAGGCCTGTAAGAGCGTTCCAGGGTCGCCTTACCTGCCGTGTTCGCTGGTCGGCGCTGTGGGCCCTCCGCTCTTCCCCAGCATCAGAGTGTCGGCTTTCGAGCTGATTCAGGGTCGAGGCAGCCGCAGCAGCACAGCTGCCGACGTGAACGGCGCTCAGAACCGCCTCAGAGCATTCGCAGCGATGGGACAAGCGTGTTCCCGGCGGGCGCTGTGCCCGGGGGGGGGGGGGGCGGGGAGCAGCAGCAGCAGCGTGTCTTTGTGTTGTAGCACATTCAGAACTGAGAGGTCACCGTCGTCTCCGTCAGTCCTGTGTGTCAGGGCCTCCCTGTAGCCGAGTAAAGTGACAGCACATGGACGATGGCTGGGTTCTTTCTGGTCTGGAGCTGTGATCAGGACCGCTGCAGCGTACGCTGGAGGATGAATCCTTCATGGCCGTGTGTTTTCATTTACCCTGAGAGAATACCTGGGGTGAAGCAGTTAGGTCAGGCAGTGGGGTGTGGGGCACTTTATTAGGAGCTCTCGATGCTACACAGTCCCGGGCCAGGATAACTGTGGGGCCAGGGCAGCGAGTGCAGTCAGCTGCGTGTCACAGTCCGAATGAGCGGGCCTCTTGGGCAAAGTAGCCTCAGGCAGGCGTCCTCCACCTCACGGTCCTGTGGGTTAGCAGGAAGCAGCGGCAGCAGTGTCCCCCTCACCAGGAGCGACTGCTCTTCTGAACTCTCCGAGGACAAGCGGCAGTCTCCAGAGGGGCAGCAGGAGGAAGCCCGTGGCTGCGTGCCCGACGACTCCATCTGGAGGGTGATTGAACGGATGCCTGAACATGTGCTCATGACCTACCAGGTCCCCGCGAGGTGAGGGGCAGTGAGGCCCGTGCCCTGTACCCCCGTGCTTCCTGCTGCTTCTAACGCCAAGTGACAGCTGCGGCAGACTCCCTGTTAGAAACGCACACTTTGACATTCGCTCACCTGAAGTCCAGCCACAGTTGGTTTCTAAGGATTGTAGTGCTGGTGCCGCATGCATCCAGATCCAGACCAAACGAACCTGCTACTCATCCCGAGTCCAGAACACAAAGGAAAGTTGTCCTCCCCACGGAGGCACAGGGCAGGACCCTCTCCCCAGGCAGGCAGAGGGAGGGGAGTCCATTTCTTCTCTCTGCTCCTTGAAGCCTAAGGCTGTTGTCACGCACATTTGCTGTACCGCCTGGCATCTCTTCACTAAGTACTGCACGCATCAACGAGATGGAAAGTGGGTGCTCTGCCAGGATGCCCTGAGTAGAACCCCGACTAGGAAGGTTTGGTTTGTGTTTCCAGGGTTAAAGAAGTCGTGCTGAGAGAAGACCTGGAGAGGCTGGAAAGCATGCGAGCGCAGCAGCCCCAGTTTTCTCCTGGACAGAAGGAAGAGCTGGCCAAGGTGCGTCCGTGGATCCAAGGCCAGAGTGTCCTTCAAGAAACACGCATCTCAGTCAGCAGAGTAACATGCGCTTCCCGCTCTGAGTCCCCGTAGCGTTCTCCCGGGAGCCTGCTGGAGCGTGGAGCCCTCACAGCTCCCTCTCTGGTAGGTGCCATCCCCCGCTTGACTGACGTGCCGTGAAGGCAGGCCTGCGGTGCCAAGGAAGGCCGTTCATCGGGTTTTGAATGCAGGGCTTTTGACACCAAATGTCTTTCTTAAACTGCTTGAAAGGTTGGATGTGGTAAAAAGCCCCTTTTATGTGTGATGGAGGGGGGTGGGAGGAGGGGTGTACCAGGTCGGCATTTCAAGTACATAGTCACGTTTCAAAAGAGTTAAAATTCCAGCGTGTATGGTGGTGTGCACCTGTGACCCAGGCTCTGAGAGGCCGAGGCAGGAGCACTGCAAGGCTGAAGTCAGCCTGAGTGAATGAACGACTGAGTGAGGCTCTGCCCCAAAAAGAAAAGTTTCTAAAGACTGAGGATGTAACTCAGGGCAAGACCCTGGGTTCAGTTTCCGGTGCTCCCCACACAGTAATAAGCCGGAAGACTGAAAACAACCACCAAAGCATGAGATGGCTTTCAGGGTGCAAACAAGACCCCAGAGGTAGTGTGCTCACCGTACCTAGCGGGACCTGGAGCGGCCACGTGGTCTCCTGCAGTGCAGGGCCTCGGAGCTCACCTGTTGGCCAGTGCTTGCCCCGCCGGTAGCAGCAGCCTTCCCTTTCCTCAAGGGTCAAGGCAGGGAGGGTGAGGAGGCGGGTCACAGTCGGCACGAGAGTGAAGTGGCGTGTTCAGAAACCCGGACGCGCACCGGCCCTTGCCGGCTGGTTTCAGCGCGCAGGTCAGGTTACCGTGTTCCGATGGTCGTGCGGTCAGCAGCGGCTGTTTTCTGAACGCTTCTTCGCAGGCAGCGGGAACGCGGTGTCCAGGAAGCGACCCCAGTTCACTCCCCAGCCCTGCCCTTCACCACTCACGTCCAGCTGGCACCGCTTTCTCCCTGCACGCCTGGCTGCCCGCCGCCCTTGCCCCGGTCGCCGCCTGCTGCCATCTCTCCCATCCTCTCCCTGTCACCTGTGTACCTCGGTCTAGCTCTGTCTCTTGCAGACAACGTGTGAACTGCATCTTTTTTTTAAGCATTTTTCCATCTCAGATGTTTTGTTGTTTCGCTTTGCTTTGCTCTGAAAGATAAACTCATTAATTTTTAAAGTAGTTCCTCATCAACAGGGACTTGGCTTATGACATTTTGCTGTGTTTTTGTTTTTTGGGTTTTTTTTTGTATCGTCTAAAGCTTTTATTGTCCCTCATTTCCTCCCTTATTGTCGTCGTTTGTGTTTGGCTGGGTTTTTTTGCAGTGAAATGTTGTAATTCTCTGCCCATTTCCTATTAGGTATATTTTCTTTTTTTCTTTTTGGTAACAGGATGCTTACCTTAACATAAAAACCGCTTCTGTAGCCCTTCACCCCCATCCACCCCCTTTCAGGAATTGTTACCAAATTCAACCACAATACATGGTGGGTCCAGAAACACGTAGTTGGTTTTGCATGTCAGTATCTTCAGTTATGTAGAAAACAAAACGTGTGATTTTTAACCAAAGTTACAAAAATCCTGCCTTTTAGGCTGACAGTTTTTCTTATGTATTAGTCTCTTACAGAAAAAAACGGAGTTAGCCATCATCATCATTATTAAGTGAGAACGGCCCTCACACTTGCCCTGTGCTTGCCTCTCCTGGGCAGTTTCGCTCGTGGCCGCCGGGCTCCGGCATTTCCTGCGCAGCAGGTCCGGGGCACCGACGCCTCTGCTCTGGTCTGCGGGGCGCCTCTCCCCTCACTGCGGAGGGCGTGCCTGGCACAGGCGTCTGCCGACAGTCCTGTTGTTTGTGCCTTGGGTCTCTGGGTCTGCGCCTCGGGGAAGCCCCCAGCCCTCAGCCTCCAGCCCCCGAGCAGCAGCTGCCGACGTCCTCGCTGGGGGCCCGCGTGGGCAGCTGCTGCCCACTGGCTGCTTCTCCACGCTCCCCGGTGGTGGATGCTGGCTACGGTGTGCCCTTCCGTGAGTTCTCTTGCGTTCATCCTCCCGGCCATCTTTGAGCTGCAAAGGTCCGCGCCTTTCATTATCCCTCAGCCCGCGGGCCTCTTCCTTCCTGTCTGTCCTCCTCCAGCTGGGCCCACAGGGCATCCACTGCCCTCTCTCTCGCTCACCCCGTGAGGTGAGGCTCCGCTCACTTCCCTCCACCTCCCGGCCTTCTGTGCTCGGGCTTGGCCGTCTTCCTTCTGCCTTTGGAGCCTGTGGGGGCCGATCGGACCCCAGTTTACCAATGAGGTGACGGCGAAGGATTAAATAAAGGAGAGAGCACAGAGTGGTTTGTGGGGGTCCAGAAAGCTCAGAGCTCTCTTCTGCGGAAGTTAGCACTTACTGGGTCCCTAACATGGCAGGGGCTGCAGGAGAGTCAGGGCACATCCGAGCCAAAGCCCTGAACATGAGCAAGGCCTTGGGAAGTTAGCACAGAGACGTCCCCAGCGCTGTCTTGCTAATTGAGAGAACTGCCTTCTCGAGGCTGGCAGTTAGGCCCTGAGTTCGGGGTGAGTGGTGTCCTCAGCTGCGTCTGGCCTTGCTTCAGAGGCGTCACAGCATCACAGCCCCCTGCAGGGCTCTACTGGGACTTGGCACAGGCAGCTCTGTTTTTTTGCATGCCAGATGCTGGCTCTTGGCCAAGTCACCTAGGCCTGGAACAGACCCAGGTAGATACAGAGAAGCCCGTTAGTAATCCACACCCTGCTCCCTGTGCCTCGAAGTGCTCTCCTCAGAGCCCCACTAGGGAATTTTTTTTCCAGACACAGAGTGTCGTTTTGATTTCTCACTGCTCTTTGTGTTGCTTTATTATTTCCATTTTGTTCTCACGTTGTCTTCTTGGTCTTGTCGTATCTTCCTTTAGTTCCCTGAGCATCTTTACAATATTTTTGTTGTTGTCTTGTTTTTCGAGAATGTTTTATTTTAGATGAGATTGCTTTGTTTTGGGATGTCTTTTTGGTTTTGTTTTCTTGGGGGGATTTGTGTGTTTTTGTACTGGGGATTGAAGCTTGCACTTCACATATGCTTGACAAAATGCTCTACCACTGCATACCCCCTCGGCCCTTTTTTTTAAACTTTATTTTAAAGCAGGATCTTTAGTAAGTGCCCCAGGCAGGCTATCTACTGTGATCCTCCCGCTTCAGCCTCCGGAGTAGCTGGGATCACAGGCAGGCACTCCTGTATTCAGCTAACGTGATTGTTTTAAAGTCCCTAACAAGTCCACCCCCCAGTCTTTCTCGGAAATTGTTTCTCCTGGGTTGCATTGAGTTGGGTTGGGTTTTTCCCCTCTGAGTGACCTATACTCTCCCATTTCTCGTGTGTGCCTTGTGATTTGTTGTTGAAAACTGGACATTGGAATCTAGTTGTGTGGTAACTGTGGAGGCGAGGTCCCCCTTCCTCGGGCTTGGCCGATTTTGCTCTCCGATTGGGGTGGCTGAGTCCGTGCTGGAGAGCAGCAGGAGTTGAGGCCTAAGGACTTGGCAGCCTTGTGCCTGGCTGCCCCTCTGCAGCTGCCTGCGTGGCCTGGACTGTGAACGGCTGCCTCTCGAGGGAGGGAGGCAGAAAAAGGAAATCATCTGGAAGTCACTTTAGTGGTAAGTGAGGTCACAGAAGACAGAAAACAGGAAGGAGACGAGGAAAATCTAATTGTAAAGTTGTACTCTGAAGAAACATTGTAGCTTTAGGACACCAGGTTACCTCAGGTGACGGTGCCTGTTTCCCTCCTGTGAAGCTCCAGAAACCCTTCCCAAGGGGCTCAAGGCCCAGCAAGCCTATAAGTGAAGCTTAGGCTCTTCTCCCGCAGACCAGACCTCCCTGCTCTGTGAAGCAGCTCCCAAGCCCGAGCTGAGGGCCCTGGATCACACCCAGCCCCCCACTGCAGGGTGCCTTGCAGATGGTAGCAACATAGCCCCAGGTCACCTGTCCCAGAGGCACCCCCAGCTGTGTAAGAGCCTCAGGCCGTGCTGGCACCCTCCAGGGCTCTCCCTCGCTGCCTGTGCCCTTCTGTGGTGCTGCCCGGAGCACCCTCACTAGCCTCGCCCTGGGCCCATGAGAAAATCAGCAGCTGCAGGCTGCCCTTCGAGGGGCCGGGCAGAGGGCCCCCTGCCCTTCGGGGCCACCTCAGGCCCTGCAGCATGCCGCAGAGTCTCCAGGCTGTACCCTGCAGAGGGCCCTGCTGGAGCCCCCTTGGCACAAGGATTCACTGGACATGGAGACTTCGCTGCAGCTCTCTAAACCCTGACCCTTAAGTGACCACAGGGTCATCACATCACCGACACAAAGACTTTCCACTCTGCCTGTGGGCAGACATTGTTTTTCCAAAGCAAAGGTTGTGTGTAGAGCCTTTTGTTTCTGATGTCTTAAAAGTGCCAGTGAGGCCCTTTCTTTTTTTTTTAACTGTTTTCCAAAGAGCCTGGATTGTCCCTAAAGAGGCCTGTGTGTGGCAGGACCCTATATTGATGTCACCCAGAATTAATCAGAAGCATCCAGAATGAACCTAAACCCCACCTCGTGTATTTTGCTCTTTTGTTACGTGCATCTTTCCCCCCTTAGAACGAGCACTTGCAGAAATCCCGCTTACACTCGTAAACGTGGCCCCGTGTCCCGCGTCTGCGCTGCCTTCAGCTGGGCTCGGTGCAGCGTGGTCTCCTGGTGGAGGTGAGGCCCTCCAGCTCCTCTGCAGGGCGCCGCCCTGTGGCGGCTGGTAGTGAGTGCGGGCGCCTCTGGTTTTCCACACCTTCGTTCTTGGGGCTGCGTCTCACTGGCACTTCACCTTGCCCTGACCCTGCAGCCTGCCTTCCCCTGCACATCTGTCAGCGCACAGGAGGCCTAGTCACTGGGCACCTGAAGCCAGCATTGACCCAGGTGATGCTAAAACCAAAGAGCCTCTCGGCCACGGGTCTTTACCGGGGATCGAACTCAACCGCCTGCTTGCAAGGCAGGTGCTTATGCCGCTGAGCTAAATCCCCAGCCCCAACCACTGGTCTTTTTAATGTGTATGGTTTTAAAATAATGATTACAAAAGTTTATTGTAATAGCTGATACTGTCCTTACATGCTTATGTGTTTGAATGTCCAGTCTTCATAGCTTTTTTTTTTTCTTTTTTCACCAAATTTACACAAAAGAGGTCTCCCTGTGCTGACCAGAGGTGTGGCCGGCACTGCCCTGTGTTTGCCAGGAAACAGGGTTAAGTGTTGGGGACTGAACACGGAAATGGAGCTCGGGGACTGAGGCCTCGAGGACAAGGCCCTTCGTCAGGCTCATGCCGCCTGGAAGGGAGCACGACTCGCTGTCTGCTCGCCCTGCGGCTCTTCAGAGAAGTCCTGGGGGGACGCACGAGAGCGTGGGGCTCAGGCGGGGACACAGAAGCACGCGGAGCTGCCGGCGGCTGGTGCTTCTGCAAATACTGCAGCTCTGTTACGTTTCCTTCTTGTTGTTTTGTTTTAGGAAAACACTTTATAGCTTTTTAAATAAATAGATGCTCCTAGTGATTAGGAGAATGAAACTTACTACCCAGGATGATGCTGGACCCTGGTTCTCCGATCACCGGTCTCAGAGCTTTCCCTAAAGTGCTAGTTTTCTGGATTGTGTCTGAAGGTTTCCACACCATTTTCAAGTGCTGCCTTTGATAGTTGTTGGAATTTTCTAACATTAAGCAGTTCATGCAAATGTTCCTGTTTTATGAATAAAAACCTCATTCCACTCCATTTGGATAGGGCAGTGATTTTTGAGGCCTTCTTTGTGTGTTGGTCAAGTTCTATATTTTTTCTCTTGGTGAAAAATCAAAATAAAATTAATCAGCCTATGCATCTTCCACTCATGATCTTCTATAATAAGGTTTTTAGTTATGTAAATGCCTGGAGCTGACTGACTCTTTCTGCAGCCATGTATGCTTATTTCAAATACGATGTTTGTATGATGTAAGTGCTTTCCCTTTGTGTCTGGATATTTCTTTTATCTAAAACTGCTCAGCCCTTTGCCTTAGTACACACTCTGTGGAGTGCGCTTTATGCTCGGCCTGATTGAGCTGGCACTTGCAGTGAGCAGACCTTTAAACCTGTGGCGGGGCCTCGTCTTTCAGAAGCAGGTCAGCGCCAGAGGCTGCTCCTGCTGCAGGGCAGAGGGCCGGGGGTGATTCCTGCTGCCTCCTCGGGGCCGCACCTGTCAGAACTTTCCTATCAGGCTGACTGACTTTCCCTGTTACTGACCATGGGAATTAGAAATGAATGCATACAGCATGGGCCTCAATGTTTATGTAAATTTACCCCAAAAGCTTTATATCCTTGGGTCCGAGACCAAGATTCATTGAAAATAAGATGCTATATGGATGGAATAGTTTTGCAATGAAGTGTAACTTTTTCATAATTCACAAGGTAAATTTAATCCATGTTGAAAATGTTCCAGGGCTGGATGATATAAGCACTTGCCTGGCAAGTGTGGGGTCATGAGTTCGATTTCTGGTACAAAAAAAAGAAAATATGTTCCAATTGCACTTAGCAGTTTGTTTTTAATGATTAGTAATATTTTAATTGGGTATCTTTTTAAAGTAACAAAATAAACCATGACCGTGTAAACTTGAGAAAGCGTCTTGCATGTGTATGCATGATGTTTAGTGCAGTTTGTCATGAGCCATGGAAGTTCCTGGTCTGCACTTGGTTCGCATTGTCAGTGGTGTCTGCGTTCCCACATTGGAGGGTGCAGGTATCTGCCAGCTCGTTAGCGTATTTAATCCTCTCTTGAGCACCCTAAAGGACATGTTGGGTCCCCCGAATATATATATATATTTTTAATACTTGCTAGTCTTAATGCCAGCTTAATAAAATTCAGTGTCAGAATTACTCTTGCAGATTCTGAAGGGAAACCTGTGTTTACAAAGTCTGACTGTGTAACAGTGACAACAAAATCTAGGAATTGTCGTATGGACAGAGATGCTGAAGCCACACAGCGTCTGGGGGTGGGGTGAGGCCCCGTGTCTGTGGGGCTCTGCTCACCCACAAAGGGGAGCCTGCACACTCCTGCGCCCAGCTCTGGAGGTGAGTGTATGCACGTGGTGTGGGCCTTCACATGGTCAGTAAGCTGGGCTGGTTCTCCAGGCCTCCTCAGCCTGTAGGGCTTTCCCTGAGCACAGTGTGGCCCTCGAGGTCCCAGGAGCTGAGAACCAGCAAGTCTCTTGTGCTGTCGTGGCTGAGAGGGAGACTCCGAGTGCCCCGACCCCAACAACAGAGATGTCAGACTCCCCAAGCTAAGATGCTACTCATTAGAAAGCAGTAACTGTACCAGATGCAGTGGCGCACATCTGTAATTCCAGCACTTGGGAGGCGGAGGCAGGAGGCTGTCTGCAAGTTGGAAGCCAACCTGGACTACAGTACAGAGAGAGATCCTGTTTCCAAGAAAAATAATAAAATACCAAAAAAGTAATAACCTATGTAGTCATGTTTAAGGTATAGCTAAAGTAAGTCATTTCCTTAAATTGCAGTTTAATGATTCTGATTAAATCTTTATGATTTTTTTCTTGGTATTCTGTTCATTTACTAATTTTACTTTTAAACTTTCAAGAAATCCTTTTAAGAATAAAGTGAAGGAAAGAAAAACGACAGATTCTCAAGACACAGAGCCACCCGTGACACTTGCAGAAGGGGAGGGGTTTATTGCCCGGACCTCGTGGGGTGTGGCCCACTGTGCCCGAGGGCCCGGCCGCAGGCCTCACACGCAGTACTTCCAGAAGCACTCGAGGGCCGCCCCGGGTGGCGGCTGCTGCTGTCTGCTGCTTGCCAGGAGATGACTCAGTAACATGTGAGGCTCTTGTCCAGAGGGAGCCTGAAACCAGAACAGGCCAGGCAGGACAGCAGGTCAGCTAGGGATGTGTTCAGCCTGCTGCGGAGAGGAGCAGGGCCTGCACGCCTCTAAGCAGCCCATGCTCCGCTGCCCCTGGGGGTGCTGGGGGCACTCCGGGGCCAGTGGGTGGCCCCGGCCTCCGGGGTGTGGCTGCATGTGTTCCCCTGACCCACGCCAGCCCGTGTCCGTGCAGCCCATCTGACTGACTTGTCTGTCCTCGGGACACAGATCTCCATGTCTTGGAATTAACTTAGTTTCCTTTGCATTCTGCAATTGGACGGGGACACCCGACCCCCAGCACCGCCACTCACCTTCCTCACGGTTCCTCTCGGGTGGGGGGCATCGGTCTGAGGCTCTGGGAAGCGATTTTGAAACTGGTTTATCAATTCTGTTGTTTCTCTTGTATCTGATTTTAAAACAGAAAGACAGTGTGTTTCTCAAGTCTGTCGGGCTGCGTCTTCACAGGGCAGAGATGCTGACTTGAACGAAGGCAGGAGCCCTTTGTACTGGGCTTCACGGGCCACCCTGTGTAGTCCCCAGTAACCTAGTGATTCTACCGCTTGGTAACTGGACCCCTTCTGGCTGTCAGAGTCTACGAGGGGCTCAGCTGCACCCCGGAACGCCCTACCCCACCCTGCAGGGCTTGGCCAAGTAACTGCAGGCTCGGAGACAGAAGCTCAGGGCTGACATTCCACTGATTACTCTCTGTGTGACTGGCTAACATGTGACGGGCACTTTCTCCGCCAAGGAATCCTGTCAGGTGGCTCTTTTCATCCTTCTCAGTCCCTGGTCAGAACCTCGGGTCATAGATTAAGTGAGATGCTTACGCCTCCCCCAAGTTCCGGGAAAGCGGGATTTACCCTCAGCCTCACTGCCCCGCACAGCCTCGGAACAGAGACTCGGGCAGGCAGGAGGAGCCGCCGCCAGCCTTGGGGTGCCTGCGAGGAGTGGGGCGAGGGTAGAGGGGCGGAGAGGGCGCCTTGGGCCCGGGGAGGCCGTCAGGTGGGGCCCGTGTCTTTGTACAGCTCGCCTTCAGACTCCAGCCTAGGGCTGCCTGGTCTGGTGGGTGAGACTGGGGGAAGGTTCCGTGGCACTGAAACCAGAGGACGCACGCATGCGAGCCCCGTCCTACCTGTGCCCCTGAGCTCGGTGCCCTTCCCTGCGCCCAGTGCTGCAGGCAGCAGCCGCAGGAGGGTCGCCCTCCCCAGCGCCTCCAGGGCCAGCCTGGCCTCTGCATCCGGAGCTGTGGGGTGAGAACAGACACGCAACTCAGCCTGCCTGCCTGCATCAGTGCTTCCCGTTCTGGTCCTCCTCGGGCGGGGCAGGGAGAAGAGCAGGCACGCTTCCATCCCCAGGGTCCAGATCCACCGGGAGTCACTTTAATAGGCGAGGTGCCAGCCGGTGGGAGTCGGCGATAGGCGTCTCACGCTGGCCCTCGTGGTCTGCCTGTGCGACTGCAGCACCGCCCACCTGCCCTGAGCAGCAGCCACAGCTGAGCTGAACCCCAAACCCGAATCCCCCGGCCGTAAGGTCCTGTCCCTCATTGTGTCCTCCGCTGCCCTCGGCCTTTAGCCTTTAGGTGACCCGGGCGGTACAACTGGAAAGAGGGAGGGAAGGTCGTGTCCTTCCCCTGCATGGAGAGGGTGGGGGGGGGGGCTCCAGCTGGACTTCTGGGTGTGGCTGCAGTGACACTTGGATCAACTTCAAAATAATTTTAAGGAGCTCGGCCAGGGCCTTTTGTGTGAAGTGGGATCACCTGGCAGCTCCCACGGCCTGGGCTTCCAGCCAGCACACTCTTGGGAGTGGGGCGGGCCGTGCTGGGACCCCGGGTGTCGCCCGCAGGCTGCAGGGTGGCGCGGAGACTGCACCAGCCTTGATTAAGGTGCCGGAGCATGTCTGCAGCGTTCGTTTCTGAAGCCTGCTAGTCAGGACAGAGGTGGGATCAAAAGCTGCTTCCACTGCGAGAGCGCTGCCCTCCTTCCGTTGGGTTCTTAAACTGTAATCCGCGTAACTTTAACACGACATTAAAGACAACACTGAATCCAGTTAAGTGTTATAGAACCTAGTATGCAGCCTAATGACATTCCCCAACCTAAGTGGCAGTTACAAAGCAAGTTTCTGCTTGAAGGATATTTTTCACATTCATCTTGGATGTCAATGGAATGAACATAGCAAGCAGAAGTACGTAGACCTGGAAGTGGGTGCCTCAGCCTCCCCTTGCCACGCTGTGGCTTGTGATCAGCCCCTTTGCTGCATCAGATGTTTACTCTTGTTTTTTGGTACCAGGAATAGAACTCAAGACCTTACACTTACTAGGCAGGCACTTCTGCTACTGAGCTGTATACCCCCGGCCCCGGATAATTATTCTTACGAAAATAATGTAATTTATCACTGGGAGGATACTTCTGCATTCCAGTCCATTTAAAAGTCAAAAATCATGGTGCTTTAAATTTAGTGCAATTTTACGGGGTGGGGGATATTGACCACACGTTTGGATTATAGAGGAGACATGAATTAAGCAGTGTTGCATTTTAGAGAAAACTTGGGTCCCCTGCTAAATCTAGGTGTGCAGTAAGGGTCCCCTGCACAGTCCAAAGCTGAGACTGCCGTGGAAGAGTCCTTTAAGCAGGACTCAGGAATAACATGGGCAGAAGGCTCCTCTTACCTGGTAGCTGGAGGGGCGCTTCTGGGGGCCCCGAGACAGGAAGAGAGAAGAGCGGGTGCAGCAGTCCCATCCAGAGCAGGAAGCGGGAGGCCAGCTTGTCCATGACTGGAGGCGGCAGGAGCCCTCCGGCCCGGCTTCTGAGGGGAGCTCTGAGCCGGCTCCTGCGCATTGCGTGGTCACCCATTATATAGACCATTCTGTGACCTCATATCGTCCCCTCCAAAAAAATAAAATGAACTTATTGGCTGCGGAGGCTAAGAGGCAATCACTTTGCATTGAAGTAATTTTCAAAGTAACAGTTCATAGACAATAAATTTACTGTCTGTGGCTCAGGAGCTATATAAAGAAAGCACAGTTAGTTTGCAAGGCTGGCAGAAGGAGTCCTTCGCAGCAATAAATCACGCGTTAAAGAGGGACGTGAATTGATGTGACCGAGGCAGAGGGACGTGGATTTATGAGTCCTTGCAGAAGTGACGCAGGGCGTGACATGAAATACGTTGGTTTCCTTTTGTTTTCATCTTCCATCACCAAAGAGATGTGTTGTCCTATTGTGTGGGGGCCTTCCAGGGCTGAAGAATGATAACCTGTGGATTAAACCAAAACAAGTTCTTCAAAACAGTGAAGACAGCCATCTAGCAGACACTTCCAGGCTCAGGTTTGTCCTCTGCTTATATTGGGCCCATGTAAAACGTAGAAGCACTCGAGTCTTCTGAGAAAAGGGTTAAGCCCTTCCCTTAAAGCGATTGTCGCTCACCAAACCCCGAGAAGGTGCCGATCAACACCTCCAGCACCTGACTCCTGCTCACCGCCTCCACTGCGCCCGCCTGGTCCCAGCCTGGGCTGTTGCCATGGTTTCCTGCAGTCTGCATCCCAGCCCCAGTCTCACCCCAGCACAGCAGAGAGGTGGTCAGCACCGAAGGCCTCACCAGTGCTTCCCCCAGCATCTTCCTGTGACTCGGACACAAATGTTAGACACGTGGATGACTAGGGGAAAAGGACCGCGCACCTTCTCCACCTCGGGGCAGGTGACTTTCTTGGGACGTCAGCTACAGAAGAACAAGTTTGAGACAGGAATTCAAGCGAGCTGTACGCCACGGTGACTGTGGGTAGGGAGGCTCGATGTACACTTGACAGCCACTCAGAGTCGCTGCAAGCATTCTCATCACCAGAAAAGTGACCTGTGCATTAGATGGTTTGGTTTGATCTTTCCACAGTGTGAGCCTGTACCAAAATATTGCACCGTACACCGTGAATGCATGTACGTTTTGTCAGTAAATTAATGAAAAGCTGACTTCAACATTAGAAAACATCTACCCTTTGAAAGGTACAGCTAAGAAAATGGGAAAATCAGCCACACTTTGGGAGAAGGTTCACAAAACCTGTGCTGCCAAAGTGCCATTTTATATTTAAAAGTCGATAAGCCAGGTGAGCCGATTAAAAGAGCAAGAACAGGTCCAGGCAGATCCCGCACGAGAGGTATGCAGTGGGCACAGGAAAACCATCCAGCACAGCAGCCATCAGAGGAACGTGAGTCCAGGCACAAGGTGCCACTGCGAACCACTGCCAAGGCTGCGATGCAGACCCAGCCTCACACCTCAGGAAGCTCTGAAAATTTTCATAAAGAAGCCTGCAGCTCAGTATGGGCATGGTGGCACTCACCTGTAGTCCCAGTACTCAGGAGGCTGAGGCAGGAAGATCACTGTGAGTTGGAGGCTGGCCTGGGCTGCATAATGAGTTCAAGCCCAGCCTAAGCTATATGGTGAGACCTTATCTCTTAGAAAGAAAAAAAGATGAAGTCTTATAGTTCAGCGCGGGAGTGCTTGCCTAGCACGGGTTCAGTCCCCAGCACTGCAAAATAAACATACTAATCGGGCTACCAGAAGCACCTCTCCCCCGTAAGAGATCATAGAAGTTAAAACAGAAGAGAGGTTCCGGGTGGCACAGTGTTTTACTAACAGGGAGATCTTTTGCTCCCTGTTATGGGAGAGGGACCTAGAGATGCACAGAAAGGGAGGGAGGGAGAAGGGCAGGGGAATAGGAAGAATTCAGAACCATAAGGACGTATGTCTACTCCCAAAGATGAGTGTAGACCTTGGGTTCGGCAAACGGACTAATAAACAACTCGCCCCTTCTCCCGCAGCGCTCTCCTCGTCCGCCCTGGGGATGCTGGGCGCCCTTGCCTGGGCCCCCGAGCCCCCACCACGCATTACACGTCGTGTGCATTTGTCCCACATGACAGGCACTTGAGCACCTGTTCAGTGCCCTCGGGGACAGTGCAGTGAGCAAGAGCTGGCGTTTCCAGTGGGAGGAACGGACGCCACAAGGGGTCTGGGCGGCTACTGTATGGAGTAAAACCCAGTGGCGGGCCAGGCGTCAAGGAAGGAGCGGGTCCAGGGCCAAAGCTGCTGGGAAGGGATTTTGTGCAGAAGCCCAAGTTTTTCTTTTTGGCAGTCAAGGGGAGTGGAGGCAGGAAATCACTGTGTAGTCCAAGTTGGCCTCCTGCTTCCAGTGATCCTCCCGCCTCAGCCTCCCAAGTGCTGGGGTTACGAGTGTGTGCCACCACGCCCAGCCAGAAAGCCAAAAGAAAATGGGCCCAGCAGAGGAAATGGTGGCGCTGTGGCCTGTGCCTGGGAGCACTAGAGGAAGAGCCCCGCAGGCAAAGGAAGAACGTGAAGCAATGATGGACAGCCTGGGCTTGACCACCTGGAGTGGGCCGGGTGTGCTTGATGGGGACCCTGCCGGGGCGTGTGGTGCATGCTCCTATCCCTGGTGGCCTGCTGGGTGGAAGGTGCTCCAGCCGCTCAGGACCCACCACACCAGTCTCCCAGCGTCTTCACAGCCGCCTTGGCCTGGTGTGGGACTGGCTGTGGGTAAAGGGGACAGAAACATGGCCTTCAGGAGCCTGATGTCACATTGGAGCTGCGAGAAACCACTTATGTCCAGCTGGAGAAACCAGATCCCACTGGGAAGGCCCAGTGGCTTCCAAGAGCTGCAGTGACACAGAACACAGGAGCCAGGGTCCCGCCGGCCTGGGTTGCCCGCAGCAGCAGCTCGGGGCCGGTTGTGTGCCGTGACATCGCTCTGCCCGTTCAAAGCTCACTTTCTCTCTCAACCAAAAATAAAGATCGTCTTTTCTTTCCCCTGTATGTGTGGCCAGAAATGCCTCTGCCACTGACCAGGAGGACCACGGGCATGTACTTTCCAAACCACATCCTACGGGAAAGGGAGACTGACCACAGAAGTCTGTCACCTGCCACCGTAGCTGCAGAGGTGACTTACAGCAAAGGCTGCCAACTCATGCTGTCTTGGAGGCAGCAGCAGCCACTTGTCACCAAGAAAGCAGGTTAGAAATCTGAAATCCAAGCTCCTCCAGATCTCCCCAAGCAAAGCTCTCACTGGGTGTTTCTGAAGAAAACGCATCCACGCACTGGACTTCAGACTGCGGGGACCCACATTTAGTCTACACCTCCCAACTAAGCCTGTGAGTCAGTGGGTCAGACAGCACAGCAGCATGGGATTTCAGTGGCCATCAGAAAATAATCGTGCCATTTACAGGTGGTATGATTTATACTCTGGGCTTCTCGCATGAGAGAAACGGTGAAATATTTAAGCTCATGTGTCTGAAGGTACATCCATTTTCCTGCAGACGACTCCACTCTGCCCTGGGGGCACAGTAGTGCTGCACTGTGTGTAAACTCCACACCTTCCTGAAGAGCACAGTAGATACCAAATAGAAAACAGGATGGAGCTTTTGCAAAATGGAAGGGAACGAGGAAATGTGGGGCTAGAAGGGGGTGCAAAAAGTTAGGACGGGTTGTGCGTGCAGTTCCCGCGGTGAGCATGGTCTAAGGAGGTGCAGAAGGAAGCCCTGGACTGTGGGGACAGACAGACAGCGGTGAGGTAAGACGTCAGGCGGCGGCTGCTGGTGGGAGATGGCTGTCAGCAAGCGCTGGATGGGATATTACAGCGCTGAAACTGCAGAGGGGGTGCTTGGGGTCAAGGGGTGCTGTGCGTGTGTGTGTGTGTGTGTGTGTGTGTGTGTGTGTACATAAGCACTTGGGTTCAGAAGTGGAAGGCATAGTCCGACACCGGGCCCTCTGGTGACCCCTAGGTTTGGGTCCAAAGGAAGGTGACAGAAACTTCAGCTCACTCACTGTGTTCATGTCCGTGTCTGTCTGTGTCTCTGTCTCTCTCCGTATCCACGCCTGGCTCTTCTGTCTGCCTCTGTCTTCTGTCTGTCCCTCCCTCCCTCCCTCCCTCCCTCTCCCTCTCTGCCTTTCTCTCCCTTCCTCCCTCTTTCTCCAGAGGCGGCTGCTTGCCAGGATTTGTCATCTGGTGACTCAGGGTCCTCCTGACAGTTTTCCTGACGGTTTACAGCGTGGCCTAATTAAGTTACTACCAAAGGCTTAAGCTCCAAAAACTGAGCCTCCTTCCTCCAGCAGGCCATCAATGACAGTGTCACCTTGTCCCAGAAATGCACCGAGCCCGTCACTGGCCCTCGTGACTCAGAGCAGAGCGATGCAGCCCGAGTTTATGTCCCAGCTGGTGACCCTCGGCCACCCTGGCACCTGGGCCGCCTGTATTACCTGTGGATTTCCTGCTCCAAGCCGGGGTGGGGTGGGGTGGGCCGTGCGCATCACGGAGCAGCAAATGGCATCTTGGGGTGACTTTGGCTCTTAGGACACCAGCGTCCACCAGATAGCGATTTGGTTTTTGCTTTGAAATGGATCTAAACTCGCCGGCTCTGCTGTGTTTACCTTTTCAAGCAGCCGTCGCTTGTGAGCACTGTCCTCAGCCATGGGGACAGTGGGGTCCTGGGAGCAGAAGCCAGGAGGAGGTGGCTTTGCCAAGCATCCAAAGCCAGTCTGGTACTTAGTGACGGGCACCCTCAGAGTACGGGTGACCCAGGAGATGTGATTGTGCCCTCTGGTGAGTGTGAGGGTCTGATTCTGAGCATTGAACCCAGGGCCTTGCCCCTGGGCTCCATCCCCAGCTCATCTGTAGTTTTTACTTTGAGACAGGGTCCCACTGAATCGCTGTTTCCCTGGTTGGGCTCAAACTTGCAATCCTCCTGCCTTAGCCTCCCGGAGTGCTCAGGCCTTTGTTCTGTGCAGACCTGGTCTGTGGAAGCCCTGCAGCTAGACAGTGCCCCACGGCCACTGTAAGATGGTTGAGATGTCCTTGGGCTCCTCTGTCATTTTCATTTGCGTAAGATCATACACTACAGGCTCCGGGTAGATGGGGGAGAGCCTGGAATGCAGGCTCGAATGTGGGGTGCAGGTGGGCTGGTGGGAACAGACAGATTCTGCTCAATGTCGAGGAGCCAGCGTGTTTGACCCGCGAAAACAAAACAGATGTCCTCCCTATAGCTGAGCAGGGTCTCTGAACCGTGTGGCCGCACCCCAGAGCCTGGGTGGGGTGGGCAGACACTGAGTCCTGGGGTGTCACCCGCAAGGGCTGCCATGACAGCACCCATAACTGGGGCTCCCGGGCCATGTTGGGGTCTGTACCTAGACCCCCAATCTCCCAAACAGGTGCACGGCGAAGGCTCAAAGGGATGAGACCCGTGGCAGGGTCTTCAGGGCTGCAGGAGGAGTGAAGTCCTCGGCAGAGCCCGGAACTCTGCCAGCCGCCAGCTGACTGACGCTCGTATTTACCCAGAACAAGCCAGGAGCTGAGTGGACAATGGCGGAGAACTGAGCGGGACCTCGGGAGGGGCTCAGGGATACCTCAGAGCACAGACGATGCTAAGTAAGGAAAACAATCCAGAAAGTCTCCAGGTGGCCCCAGCTGTGGCCCGTCTTGCCCCCTGAGGTGTCTCCTCGTTCTCAGTTCAGTCATGCCCAGGCCACGCCACAGCCCTGCACGTGCACTCTGCTTCAGTGGTGCCTACAGAGCCACATCTTGGTGCTCACACAGTGCTGGAGGGCAAACAACAAAACGAAGACCGTGAGGCGGGCAGGCTGGGCTCTCCTGGCATCCTCCTCCTCCGTGTCCTCACCTGGTGTCCCTCCATGTGAACCTGACAGGTGTACAAGGGCACTAGCCCCTCCTGTCACTCACTGCGATGACCTCGTCTTTTCTCTGGTCGCTGCCACAAGGCCCAACACATAATGAGGCCCTGGGGTGCAGGACCTCGATATCTGAATATGTGGGGTCACAAGTCCACGCCTGGCAAGTGGGCAGAGAAGTCCTGCCTGCTTGTTTTTGTTTTTGTTTTCGCTTTTCCCCCTGTACTGGGCATCAAACTCAAGCCTTTGACACTGAGTTACATCCCCAGCCCTTTTCAAATTGTTATTCGTTTTTAAACTTTGGAGGCAGGTCTTGCTAAGCCACTCAATTGCTCGGGCTGAGCGCAAATTAAAAATTTGCAATCCTCCTGCCTCAGCCTCTGGAGTGCTGGGGTTACAGCAAGTGCCCAGCTGAGCCCATGGTGCAAGGAGGTGGGAGGTGACAGAGCTGTTCCGTGGGCAGCCCCAACCACACCGGCCACCTCTTCCAGAGCCTCTACAGGCCAGGTGTGAGTCTGGAGGCGCCCTGTCCAGGTCCTCCTGCAGGCATAGCAGTGAAGCAGAACCCAGAAGGTGGTGACCTCCTGGGACAGGAGAGCCACGCTCCATCCGCCTCAGAACCCGGTTTCCCGATAGGCTCAAAATCACCTCCCTCACCCAACCACGCCTGCCCTGGTCCTGCAGGGGCCTCACAGCTGGACCCAGCTCAGGGGCACCTCGGAGCTTTGCCCTTCCCGAAGAGCCCCTACTGGTCCACTCCATGAGAGGACACCTTCACAGAGAGTGTGACAGGCCAGGCTTCAGCTCCAACATGTCACCCTCACAAAGTAGCACCCGCAATGGAACCAGACTCAATCACCGACGATCAGAGAGCCAGTTGAATAGACAGTCTTGATTCCACTTGCCAAAAAGCGAGGTTGCCTAAAGATACATAACTTCTGAACCCCGATAGATGTGAGCTGGCGTCACAAGCGGGGTTGTGCTCCCCAGAAATCCTGTGTGGCAACCTCACCCCTTGAGGAGCAGTCGAATGTGACTGTGCTCGGAGATGAGTCTTCAGGAGGAAACGAGGTTGAAAGGGGGCCACTAGGCTGGACCCTAGTCCAGTGTCCCTGGCATCCCCCCCTTGGATAAGCGAGATGCCAGGGACGTGTATAGACACAAACAGGCCATGTGCAGACTTGGGGACCATATGCCACCCCAAGCCAATGAGGGGTCCCCGGAGAAGCCAGTGGCCCCTGGCACAGACTTCCGGCCACCGGAACCAGAAGATGAATGCAGTGCTGGGTTACAGTGTTATGTAACACTGGTGACGGTGTTATGAAGGGCAGACCCCAGGGCCAGCACCTCCTAAGCGTGCCCTGCTCTGCAGTCACAGTCAAGACAGCGGGATAATGTCTTGGCCAGTCCTCGCACTCGTGGAGGAGGCTGTCTCGGGGATGTGCGTTCAATCGAGCGCCCGTGTACGCCCCGCCCCGTGTTGGGTTTCAGGATTTGGATCTGACTTCAGACTCAGCTTAGGGACTCTGGCTCCTTCCTCCAGGATCTACCCAGACGGCACGAGGAACACGGTGTGAGGTGCTGACTCAACAAGGGTGACCCCAGGGGACAGCCAGCCCTGAAGACAGCCCCGAGCCCAACAACCTGTCTTCCACAGGGTGAACCAGGAAGCCCACGTCCCCACTGCTGTCTGACAGCACAGGCAGCCTGGGCGGGTGTGGCCCCTTCTCCCTAGGGAATGTTGACAGTATCAAAATGTACAGTGTCCAAATGTGTGTCTCCCTTCCCAGCTATGCATGCTGAAGCTTCACCTCCTGTGTGGGGAGCTGGAGGGGAGGCTTTGGGGGAATTAGTTAGATCAGGTCATGAGCATGGGGTCCTCAGACCTGGGCGGCATTGGCCCTTAGAAGCACACGGAACCCTGCCGGGTGATGACTCGGCCACAGAGCCACCAACTGCACAGCAGGCGGCACGTCCTCGTCCGGCCTCCACCCCTGGCAGGGGTGTCTGCTGAAGGCCAGAGCTGCAGGACGCCCCTGCTTCCAGATGACAGGCTGCCCCAGGTCCTGCAGGTGGCCGAGATGAAGCCATGGTGGGAGGACTCCTGGTTTGTTTTGTTGTTTTTTGCTACATTGACATCTCCTTGCGTGACCTTGGCCACATTAGAAGGTGGGGGCCAATCCCTTGCGAAGGTGGAGGCCCCTGGACTCAGACCCCTCCACGGCGGGTTCCCAGGAAAAGCAGGGCTGTGTGGCTTAGGCCATCCCCAGGAGAAGCACACGAGCGATGGCGCCATCCCCAGTGCCAAGAGCGTTCTTCTGCTGAGACTTCAGAAGCAGCCATGGCGATGTCCCCTCTCGGTGCCTCTCCCTGGTGACAGCACACAGGCCGATGCTGAGCTTCCGGGCACTGCTGTCCTTGTGACCTGGGCAGCCGCTTCCCAGAGGAGGATGTGCTGCCCTAGCGAGGACATTCAGGCCTGGGCCGGGGCCATCGGTGGATGCGTCACAGCCCGGTGATGGCCAGCGTGTGCCCGAGAGTGACATCTAATAAATACCTGCTCGGCTGACTGATTCACTCCATCCACTTAGCAGGAGGCTCGTGGAGGAGGCTGGGGAAATGACTCAGATGTCCCCGGAATGGTGCCGCGGGCTTGGGCCACCTGTGGTCACATCTCTGATATTAAAGGAAACGTGTAGCTACAGAGAATGTTAACTGCTGCTGGGGGGGGGTCCCCAGAAATGAGAAGTGACAGCACCATGTCGCCCCAATCTTGACGCTGTGAGGAGAATCGATTCGAAGGCAGCTGCGCGGTTATAGTGTACGACTTTCATGTCTGTTTCCCGTCCTTATCCCGTGGAGCTGAAGGCAGGGCCGAGTTATGTCCCGGACCCCAGCATCCCTGGGCTGAAGTCCTAACCCAGGGCCCAGGCTGTGAGCATCCCAACGACAGGGTCTTTAAGGTTCAAGGGGCCACTAGGGTGGGTCCCGATCCAGCAGCAACAGCGCCCTTCTAAGGAGAGGTTAGGACGCAGATACACAGAGGAGCCCCCAGGGGACTCTGGACCCCTACCACCCTCGCACCCAGGAGCAGGGCCCAGGGAGAAGCTGGCCCTGGGATCGGCTCAGTCTTAGGCTTCAGCCTCCAGAGCTGGGGGGACCATCTGGTGAACCACCCGGTTGGCGGGGCCTTACTACGGCAGCCACGCGGGCAAACATGGGGGCTCTGACCTCCATGCTTCTGGTCATTTCAAATGTCACCACAAAGAAAAGTACAGTGTCCACAGTGCATCCAGATCCCTGAGTGCCAGGGTTTCAGGTGAGAGTGCGCCCTTTTCCCTGAGAACAGGAGCGACTTCCAAAGTCCTCTGATGGCAACGCATTAGTTACACCGGCCTGCCACAGTGCAGTGTGCAGGCGCTGCTGGAAAGTCCACTCTTCAGACTGTAGGTGGGCCAGCTGGAAACATGACCCCGTGTCTTCCAGTTTGTGAGAAGCATGCCATTTGGTTCTTCTCCCGCAAGATGCTTGATTTTTATAGCTTACGTCTTCCGTGAGAATAGGAACCATTACAGGCATCTTGTTCTGCCTTTCAGAGAGATTTGTAGAGATTTCTCACTCACGTGACTCTGATGTCATCGACCTGATTCCGCACAGATTAAGTAACTGTGTAATAATTTTTAAGTTCTCTCTGTGGTCTTCATAGACCTGTTCAGGATCAGCATTTAATTTACTTGAGTCCCTCCCGTTTAAAAATTCCTGTTAAAAATAAAATAGTGACTATTGATTTTGCTCTATCTTTTGTTTATTACAAATATTGGTTGCACAGCCAGGTGGGTGGTGAGCCCTGCAGTCCCAGCGCCTGGGGGGCGGGTGGGGAGGATCGCCTCAGGTCGGAGGCCAGCCTGAAGTACACAGTGTGCCCTTCCCTCAAAAACACCAAAAAGTAACCACTGAAGTAAAACAAAGCTAGCCTGGAAACCCTCTGCCCACCTCACTGAATTATAACTGTCCTATATCTGAGTTCTACATTAAGATCCCACAGACTATAGTATATATTTTTTCTTTGAGTGGTCAGCATATTTTAAAGGACAAAAGACAAGTCTACTCTAGCAGCTGTTGATTTGAAAACAATAACTAAGTCGTGTAGTGTACCTGTACCAAATCCCTACAATAAACACAATGTGTACTGCAAATGCATTCGTAAAACTAAAACACACAAAATATATCAATTTATTCCCTAATTGACGTGTTTTGAAATTTTGTCGTAGTTTTTTCTTTTCTTTTTCTTTTTTTTATTCTTTTTACCCTTGAGTAAAATGGATTTGGGGAAAGTATTTTCCTCTGTAAAGGAGCTGGTGTGGTCTCTTAGGTCAGCCTCTCCCGTTTCTCCAGCTCCTCCTTCCCTGCCGAAACCCGACTTCTCCGCTGCCCCAGCCTGAAAAGCCCACCTGGCATCCCTCCGGGGCAGGGCTCCTGGCAGCAGCCCGCTTTGTCCTCCTTGCCCCGACCCTGCCTTTCCCACCATTCCTGAGACAGATTCTCAGCCGGCCTAGCACACGGTTCCACGGCGGGCGTCCCCAGCGTTGCCCGGCCGAGTCCACCCGGTTCCATGTCCTTGTGTCCAGCCGCCGCTCCTGCCTGGCTGCTCTCCGCAGCGTGCCCTGGCTTCCCAGCTCTCTGTGGCGGGTGTGGCCTGGCCTCCGTGGCTCTACCCTTCCTGGTGGCTCACAGGTCTCCTGGGTCCCTCGCCACATCTCTCACCGGACGTGGGAGGCTGCCGATGGTCGTCCCCTCGCGTGCCCTTCCGTGGCATTGTCCTTCACCCCGTGCCTGCAGCTCGCTTCCGCCAGCGCCCAGACCTCCGCTGTCCCTGAGGTCCTGAGGCCTCATCTCGTTCACGGGTCCTTTTCCTCTCTGTCGCTCAAGTTGGGTGCGCGCTGTTCTCTCTGTCTTCAAGTCAGGAACTCTCCTCTCCGTGATGCCGTTTTATTTCAGGCACGTTTTCTCCACCCCAGAGTTTGCATCTGACTTCCATTCCTATCTTTTCTCTTCCTCTGCTGAGGAAGTATCCTTCTGTCAGTTAAAGTTTATGTACCTCGCTCAAGGAGCAAAGCGATCAAGCCACTCCGAAGCCTTTACTAAACATTCTATCAGAGGCTGTTTCCCGGCTGGGTCAGCTCAGTGTTAGTGCTCGGTTTTCTTTATCCTGAGAATCGTTGGTAATGTCCTGGGTTCTTTGTATGTTGAGTTTTTTTTTTTTTTTTTCAGTACTGAGGATTGAACCCAGAGCCTTTGCACTGAGCTACATTCCACCCTGTTGGTTTGTTTTAATACTGTGATAGGGTCGACTTAGGTTGCCAGGCTGGGCTTGAGCATACTCTCCTGCCTCAGCCTCCCAGAATGCTGGGATTCCAAGTGTGTGCCACCACACTAAGCTAATTTCTTTAATGTTCTGACGGTTATGTTGTGAGGCTCTGTGTTCCATTAGAATCCCCCGGAGAACATTAACTTCTGGTGGTGAGTAGGCAGTCACCCGACCAGGTTCACACCGGAGGGTCTGTCCTGTGTGCTCTGAGTGGTAGATCCCACATCGCTTAAGCTTTGAAAATCTCCTTTGGGCCCAGCACCGCCACTTGGGGTCTGCCTGGGGCACGGGCAGCGGTTCATGTTATGAGTTCAGTTCTCCAAGCCGCTGTTTCCCTGATGTGGGTTTGTCCTGCACGTGTACAGTTGAAGGGTGAATCCGCTGATACCCCAAATTAGGACATTGCCCCTGCCTGTCCCCTCCCTACCACTCCCTGAACACTCTCGCTCCCGAAGGCCACTCTCCTGGCCCTCTGACCAGAAACCCAGAATTTCTTTAAGAGTTTGAGCTACACCTGCTGCCACGTGTAGATCTGCTGTTTGGGTTCTCAGGCCACAGCCCCCTCCCCGATGCAGAGCTCAGGCTCCAGGGTCCGCAGGCTCCTCTCGTTGGCTGGCGTGTGTGGGGCAGTGAACTGAGTCAGCATACACGGAATTGAGTTTTAGGCAACAGCACCTCCCCAAGTTAGCAAGCCACCGAATTGCAGCCAGCCGGGACCCCGACCCCAGCAGTGCGACTCCCGGGTGGCACCAAGTGGAGACTGAAGAGGGCGCCGTGCGAGCCTGGCGCTGAGCTCTGAACAGGGCGTTTTTAGAGGGAGAAACAGACTGAATGGTTTGGGAATGAGGACTGTCAGACCCAAGGGGAAGCATTTGATTGTTTATTATTATTGCTTGTAAATTTCTGGGTAAAGAGGTCTTACGGTAATTCTTGTGTTTTTTTTTTTTTTTTTTATTCTGAGACAGGGTCTCACTTTGTAGTTCTTTTTTTTTTGGTCTTTTTCCTTTTTATCAGTACCGGGGATCAAACTCACGACTGCCTGCTTGCAAGGCAGGCGCTTATGCCGCTGAGCTAAATCCCCAGCCCCCACTATGTAGTTCTTGAACTGACTGTGTAGCCCAGGCTGGCTTCGAACTCTCTGCAATCCTCCTGTCTCGGCCTCCACAGTGTGTTCGCCCCCAAGCCAGCTCTTGTAGCACTTTCTATCAAAGAATACTCTTCCCCAGAGGTGCTGGCCTGTGCCCATTTTACCAACCCGAGCTAAACCTGGATGCAAAACGGCCCTACGTCCTTCCTCTCCTTACGGCTTCATGAACGAGCCTGGTATTTATTAATGCAGTATAATTTTTCATTTGAGAGGCACAATTACCTTAAATGTTACTTCTTTTAACAATCCTAATCCTGGGCTGTGGAAAAACAGAACACTTTTAATTAGCGGGGTAACCGAATCCTAGTAAGAGCCGGGGAAGACTCCAGGAGTCTTTTGTTCTTGTTTGGTTTTCAAGACAGGTTTTCACCATGCAGCGCAGTTCAGGCTGGTCTTGAACTCGCTTTGTAGCCCAGGCTGGCCTCCACCTCACAGCAATCCTCCAGCCTCAGCCTCCCGAGTGCTGGGATTGCAGGACCCACGATTTGTAACGTACATTATTGGCACTAACTTGAGGAGAGCAAACATTGGTGACGGCTTGGCTATGCAGCTTCCAGGCAGCAGTCACTTGGTCAGGGGAGTAGAAGGGAGCAGAAGAAGTCTTTGAGTTCTCTTCTGACTTAAGACTTTTTAAAGTTTAGTGGGGCTGGGGCTGGAACGCGGGACCTCACACATGTTGGGCAAGAGCTTTGCCACGGAGCTGCAGCCCAGCCTGGGACTCATTCTAGAACGTGTCTGAGCAGTGAGATGTGGGGGCGCCTGCCCATAATCCCAGCACTCTGGGAGGCTGAGGCAGGAGAATCACTGAATTCGAGGCCAGCCTGGGCTACAAAATGAGCCAAGACTGGGCAACTCAGCAAGTTGGAGAGACCCTGACTCAGAAGTCACAAAGGGCTGGGGATGTAGTGTGCAGACCCGGGTCCATCCCAGCTACCCAGGAGAAAAAAGGAGGTGAGACAGATGTCGACTGAGGCTGCACCCCAAGAAAGCCCTTAAGGAGAGCAAGACGGGTACCCATGTGGTTCTGGGGGGAACCCCGATTCCTTGTGCCACCGGCAGCGTGAAGCTGTCCATGCCACTGTGTCTCCATGACGTGGCAGCCGGCTTCACTGGTCGAGGAGAGGAGGAGAGGCCGTCACGCCATAGCTCCCTGGCCCTGCCGCTCGGTGTCACCACGCCCGTGTCCCCTTCCTCCTGAGCATGTCACAGGGTGCTGCCGGCTCCGCGGTAGCAGCTGAGCTCCGTGTGCAGTTCCCAGACCTGGCACCTGCAGTGAGCGACTGCGGTCTCTCTGTTTCTATGTCCGTACAGAGAAACCTCACGCACAGTAAAGCCTGGATGCCCTGCGCGCAGCAGTTCCGTGCAGACGCTGCTGAGTCCTGGTAGGTTTGGCTTACGTGAGAGCAGCGCTCTTCCCAGCCCTTCTGTTTTCGGTTTCAAACCCACACGGCCTCGGGGAGTCCTGAAGTCTCTGTCCTGTTTTCCGGATACTGAGGAAACCAGATCAAAGTCACAGGGGCTGGCGCAGGAGGGGACAGTGCTGAAGCACTGTGGGGTACTCTTCCTGTCAGAAAGTAAAGCAGTAGCCCCCCGCCCTCTCTCTCTCTCTCTCTCTCTCTCTCTCTCTCTCTCTCTCCTCTGCCACTAGGCATTGAACCCAAGTCATTCTAAATTTTGAGATAGGATCTCACTACATCGCCAAGGCTGGGCTTGAACTGGGAATCCTCCTGCCTCAGCCTCCGAGGGCTGAGGTTACAGGTGTGCGTCACCACACCAGGTCAGCATGACAGCGACAGAGTGACGGTAACTCAGGCTGCTTCCCGCGGACCCCGCGCGGCTCCATCATAGAGTCAGGCTGTCGAGTATAACGCCAGCTTCTCCCCGGGCCGGCAGAGGCGGAGGGCGAGGCTGGGCCTGCTGCTTCCCTCTGCACCCGCCTCCCTCCTGCCCTGGAGACCTCGACTGCCACCTTGACCGTGCGCAGATCTGGAAGTCTCCAGCCACTGTCCCCACTCTGCAGGGACAGCAGCCTGACTGACGTCACCCAGGATGGGCCCCAGGCAGGACAGGAAGGGGGACCGTGTCCCCTAAGCAGAGCCCTGGTCTCACCAGAGGGACCACATTGCCCCTCGGGCACTAATGACGTCTCCAGGCCTTCGGGAGCCCCGGCCACTTCGAGCAGGACTGTGGGAGCTCCCGTCCTGCCCCTCCCTGGGAGATCTGGCGCTCCTGCTCACCCCTAAGACAGGGCTGAGGCAGTGTCCCAGAAGAC